GAAACGATGAATAGCTAAAAGGCTTGTTTGGTAAGGAAGCAGCTTGCTTACAGCCCTTCCTTACGGTTTCACCTGAATTGGCTAATGAGCTTTACAGAGTTTACAGAGTTCCAAATCTCGACTACTTCAAAAAAAATTTTCCTTATGGCGAAAAAAACTAGATCCTATGCAGCAAATTTCTCCGCCAATAAAAGAAAAAGATCTGGTCAGAATCTTATAAGGATGACGCCCTATTAGCAGAGCTTTCAGCCCCAAAAACCACTCGAACCCGTACGTGTGCTTTGTGAGCGCCGTGCTCTTTGTTCCGTACGCTACCAAAATCCCGCTTAACCTGAAGTTCCTGATGGCTCTTCAGCCAGAGCTCATCAGCCCTCGCAGGCACAACATTGGCCGATCAACAGACAAAGCCACTGAATCGTGAAGATAAAAGCTGGTTCAGTATAATCAAGATTCTGATTCTACTAATAAGCACAAAAAGGGTGGATAAAGGGTTTGCTATAAACGTTTCCAAAAGAACCCCGAAAAAAATTTTCCCGTAAAGAACAGGTGGGAGCATTTGGGTAGTCGACAAATAAAGTCATTCCAGTGTGATAAAATTAACAAAACGGTGTATGACGAGTTGGAGTACAGCCTTCATCTCTGGGTAAGTGAAGGTTATGAACTGCATCCATGACAACTTGTTACAAGCGCACAAGATTGGCGAGTTATGGACAAATCTTCGGCATCGGACGGGATTTGAATCTGTGGAAGCAATTGGATTCAATGATTATGGGAACTAGAACGATTAGTTGCAGGAGAGAGTCAAGATCACAACAGTGAGGTGCAGCCTGAGTTACTGCAAGCCAGAGATATGAGAATCACAAGCTAAATTCGCGTAGTTTGACGTCAATTCGCATCCATCCTCCGAGGTCGATCAATCGGTTCATAGAGCGAAGACGAAAGTCAAGCCGGCGGTGATCGCTGAACGCAATGCAACTGATCCTACGCAACATCACCTATCCTTATCTGCTTGTCAGTTCAAAGTTTGTCTGGCCATCGGACTCTCGAATCCGATACTTTGTCTGTTCATCTACTTCCCTGTTTCTATTTAAACTCCTGACGTGAACAGATCGGAGACCAACCAGACTATTATTTATGTGATCTCGATTCTCAGATAACGTTATGGCTTCGTAAAACTGTTAAAGGACATATATGGAAGTTCGCAGCGTTAACGGGTTCAGCTTTGGTGGGTATGTTGCCCGCATCGTTCTCGCAATCACATGAGTGCCCGCACAAGGATGCGATGGGATGTTGTACCATCGGAGCGAAATATGGAGTGCGTTTTGAGTTTTTATCTTACCTTGTAGCAATTGAGTGGGAAAGAATCAGTATGGCATTACTACTCACCCTTTTATTTACTTGCAAAACTGCATCCGCAGTGCACAAGAGTGACGCAAGACGTACGGTCAAATATATACCGAAACAAAAGGGAAATGTCCGATCAAAAACACTCCGAGGCATTAGGGGTAACGCCTGAAATGCGAAGGCAATCCTCCACCCTATAGGTCTGAATGAAAGAGTGAAGAATTGTTATACTGTCCGTAGGACGAACTGGTGAGGCGATTCTGCATTGGAAACGTCCCACGTGAAGCTTCAAGATCGTTCCTCAATACCAGTCCTGATCCTTTGCCGGAACTCGATTACGAAACCTTTTTTGACTGCAAAAACACCTTTTCCCTTTTTTCCTCCATATGATAGTTTTTCGTTCCGTCCTTGTGACGTTTATCTCCGTCTTTATAAGCGCAAGAGTTTTTCAAAACTCTGAGTATCAGTGAAAATTCAGATACTTGTCAAAAACCAAACCACTCGAAGTCCTTGCAGACACATAAGTACGGTTAAGCACAACATCACATGGAATATCATCTCGGGGTTGCTGTAAAGAAATGGGACGATGGAATAGACTTGCAAAACTTTTGATGAAAACGAAGCCGAGTTGACCTGGTCTGGGCGATTTTGAGGATCCACGAAGTGCCATGATGGGCCTTTTTTAGGTCACGTGGGTGCCCCGGGGTCTCGAATTTTCGAGGGTTGTGGAGACCTTCAATTTGATATCCACAAATTCATTTCAGGCTTTGGTCCATTTCAGGCTTCACGGAAGGGACACCGCCGAAACATTAGCTAATAAAGTTTTAATAAAAACCTGATGAGAGCGCAATACAAACTTCAATACTTTGAGCTCCGTCCATGCCGATGCTTATGGAAGAATGTACATGGGAACTTGTAGGAGTTTAGGCTTCGAGCGCCCCATCTCCACTACATAGTACGCCCTCGATGAGATACTTGTGTTTCCACGATGTGATAAACAAGTGCATATCAAAGTGTAGTTAGTGTATCAAATCTGGTGTAAGTTCGCCTTTCTCCGTAGGTACTGACAAAGTTACTGTAAATGTAGCAGTGACAGTTGAAATTCTTATAGAGTCCCAGTTATGCTATCGATAAGCACATCGCTTGGTCTGCTTAGAGGCAGAACTATTAGGTTGATGTATAATTATTGCGGATTTTTTCGCGGCTTCTTTTCTCTCGACAGAATTTGAATATTGAGTTCGGGTTTTTCCTAGAAATGATCTACTTGATTTCCTCTACAAGAATATACTCGAAAAACCATCCGCATATTCGCAAAATTAGGCTTTACTACTTCGAGAAATATTGGGAGGTGGCGCAGTCATTCCGCGATCTCAGTAACTTTTCAGCGATCGTTCATTAGGTGATCTAGGGAAAGTACACATGAATTCCTGGCGGTCAAACACGATTATTTTGTTATTTTCTACATCCCTTGCAT